TGAGATTCCTGCGAGTGCCATGTTTACCTGATCACCGATGGCTCGATCGTGACCAGCAGTATCACTTTGTACAGGTACATGCGTTATGTAATTATCACTAGGGGGGAAGCCATATTTGTCAATTTACGAAGCCCAATGGAGCCCAATGTGGCCTTACAGCGCCAATTTAACATAGAAATGGGAAGTTTATGTTTAGGGATTTTCTTGGCAATTTAAATAATTTCTTGGTGACAAAAATCGTCCTCCCCAAACGGGCGAGTGATCAATGATCTGCGCTCGCCCGACACTTTAGACACTCGCTTGGGGGAGCGGGGAGTGCTAATGTCCAACCCTGCTGTATGAGCATTGTATGAGCACTGAAATATCTGACCTACACTTAAGTGTGTGGAACACGCGATAGGTCAAGGGGCCACATTTAGGTATTGGTGAACCTTGTTTAGGCCTGAACTAAACTTATCTGTGGGCTGAAATATCGGTGAAATTGAACTTGAATTGGAGAAGAGCATTGAAGAAGTTCTCTGTGAAACCAGTTACGATAGCAGAAAGTAATGGAGAATAGTGTAACAAAAAGGTGAGCTACCTGAAGGTTATGTCTTGATCAGAAATGGTTAAGGTAGCTTAGATCATGGTTTCTTTAATGCAATACAGAGCGGCGGTTGGGCTACACAACATTGATTTGAAAGCCAAAGAAAACTCAAATCGTGTAAGAGGAAAGTTCTGGTCTGTGCTATTGTTTATGTTTTACCTGGAGGCAATATATCTTCCAACTCTAAAAAAGGTAATTCTCTCATGGCAAATGAGTTATTATGGGAGGTTTTGATTCTCTCAAATGTGTGTGTATCGCTTTTACATTCCTTTGTTGATTCTTTTAGCTAATGACGTGGAAATGAATCCTGGGTCTTGTTATCGTGTACATTCGTCTAAAACTGTCAGTGCTGACTATCATAAAGGTGACGTTTCTCTGTTTGGAATGAGTGTTGGTCAACAATGTGTAGCAATGTGTTTGATTGCACGCACGATTTATCTCTCTGTGGAAGCGCACGATTTATCGCTGTGTGGAGGTGAAATGCAGTCTGGGAGCTGGTAAATGAGACACTGACACCAAAAATTCGCCATCTTTGGTTTCGGGGAGTGAGAAACTTGTCCTTTGTGGCGTTCCTTTGCAGTTTCTAGGATCAGCAGAAAGAGTTTATTTGCATCTTTGGTTTCGGGGAATAAGAAGCCTATCCTTTGCGGCTGTCTTTTGCAGCTTGTAGGATCCGCGGAGTGCCTTTAATTTCAGCCTTTAAACGAAGGTCTTGAGTATGGATTGTGCTTTATGCAATATCGAATAAATTTGCGTTCACGGGCAAACTCATAATACGAATACATCGTCCATACATACAACTTTAGATCTTCAAGCAAGTCGCACACGCGATAGGTCAAGGGTCCACATTAAATTTACGTATTGGTGAGCGCTGTTTAGGCCAGACTTTTTGCTGTCTTGAAGTGAATTCAATTGAATGAGCACTGTCAGAGCAG